GTGTCGGGAGCCTCGACGTGATGTGATGTTGCATCGGCTGAATTACAGCTGTAGATCTGCACCTGCAAAGGCAGATGGACCCCCCCCCACCGCCCCCAACCTCACCCTACAAACCACATCTTAGCTCGGAGCAGTTTAGAGAAGAAAACTTGACCCACTTGATTTCTTTTCTGCTATTCCACTACGAATAAGGTAGTGCTCATCTTACTCAGTGAAAATGCTATCATTTTCATCACTGCTTTTCTCCCTAATGAAATACTCCAGAAGCTACACCCTTCCCTGGAATAAAATCATTTAAAAAAAATATTAAAAAGCATAAAAATGTTCACCCATATCTGCTTAAGTCCTGGGGAGTTTCCATCCAGGAGCCTGTTATCCCCGAAGAGCCCTTATCTGAAAGTACTGCAGTACTGGCTGGACTGTACCAGGACTGTACCAGTACTGGACCAGGCTTGAGGCTGAGCAGCCTTCCCCGAGCCCAAAAGTCAGCCCTTGTAGCCCCAAAAGCACAGAAGGAATAGATTTTTCCTTCTTTTTATGGCAACTGTTCCTCTAGCCTGATCTTTACAGCCCAGCCGCAATTACCTCTGCTGCAACACGGGAGTTTAACAGAGATTAAACCCCAGCCAGGTCCCACCTCTTGGCTGTAGGCCCCTTTCTTCTTTTCCAGTGCTTTGTTCCAACCCGCCAAAAGCAAACACTTCGCTGTAAAAAACTCATCATAGTTCCTTCTTTTTATGGCAACTGTTCCTCTAGCCTGATCTTTACAGCCCAGCCGCAATTACCTCTGCTGCAACACGGGAGTTTAACAGAGATTAAACCCCAGCCAGGTCCCACCTCTTGGCTGTAGGCCCCTTTCTTCTTTTCCAGTGCTTTGTTCCAACCCGCCAAAAGCAAACACTTCGCTGTAAAAAACTCATCATAGGGAGAAAAGAAAGAGTCAAAAATATTAACAAAGTTGGTGAAAGCATGGGGCATTAGTGTCAGCATGGATGCTAATTAGGGATTAAAATTAGTGAGGTGTGCAGGATGCAGGCTGAGAAAAAGAAGAGGGGTTACTTCTCCCTGGGATGGGCGAGGAGGAAACCCGCAGGGTGGGCACCGAGATGGGGCAGGGAGTTAGCTGGGTGAGGACTGGGATGGTTGTCTTTCATTTCAGAAAAAGAATAAATCCCCCCTAGAAACTGTACAGCTGAATAGCGCAAATACACCAAAATTCAGCGATCCCCCGCATCTTGGCTCAGCCGTGAGCCAAGCACTCGTGATTAGCAGCCGCTGTACCCCAGCAAGGTCACCGACAAATCTTGCTTCTGTTAACAGATCAGTTCAACTTACACCCTTTTTTCCTCCCCTATTTTGTTCCAGGACAGCAGCCCCAAACAATGTGGGGATGTTATAAACAGCAGCTGCTCTCCTGCACGTTCCCACAGTGCTTTTATTTTTGTTGGCGGGGGGGGGGGGGGGGCGGGGCACCCAGGTGGGCTGCCAGACAAAGGCATCCCCCCTCCAAAATGTTTTCTCGTAGGAGCAGCATCCAGTCTTGAGAACAGTTTGGTTGCTGGTAAAACAGCTCAACTGCGTATAAACAGCAGCTTCAAAAAAAAAAAGAAAATTAATCCCTGTTCCAGCACACATACTGTGCTTTTACATTGCAAATATTACATTGCAAATATTCCATTGCAAATATTCCTTTTTTTTTTTTTTTTTTCCATAGGAGACAAACTGTAGGTAAAAACGCTGCAGGGAAGCATCTCTAAAGCTGCTGTAATGTCCTGGGGGGTCCTCGCAAGCCAAAATATCTGCTTAGACAACCCAACAGATTTGCTTAGACAACCCAGTGTCACCAGCCTTGCAGCAGCATTTGGTGCCCAGTGTAAGATGCCCCAGGTTCAAGGTTGTAACGGTGACAAAAGCCACCTCTGGGAGCACTTTGGTCCTGCCAGGAGGCCACAAGATGCTCCAGGGCACAGCACAGATGAGAAAAGGGGGATGCAGCCATTGCAGCAGCCAAGGATATCAGGCTCAGCTCACTGACTTCACCAGGGGGATAAAGGGAAAATTCCCTTCCAGTGGCATTTCTCATATTAAGCACCCCCCCTCAAAAAAAAAAAAAGAGATGCCTACACCCCGTTCTGGGGAGGTCCAGATTTAGGAGTGATGTGAAACAGAAGGGGAAAGGCTAGGAGGAGGTAAGGAGGGGAGAGGCAAGGGTTGCTGCATCCCACGCTGGGGACCCCTCTCCGAAAACAAGAACTTAAAAGCACTGCAATGTGTTTGAAAACACTAAAATTACTTTCTCCTGCCCGGAAAGAGTTAAGGAGTGATTCATCCCACCCTAAATTTTAGCAGCTGAGCCCTTCAAGGCAAAGCTTTTGGTGGTTAACAACCCGCTTCAAGCAGGAAATTATTTTAAACAGAGATGGGGAGGGGATGTGTTACAGCAGCATGGAAAAATCTGGTACAAAATGGACCAAAAAATTATACTGTGCAAGATGTAATATCGTTTTTCCTATTCATCTGCCAGCTCAAACCCTGGGGGACGTTTCTTGGTACCCCCACGTGAGCCCCCCCAGGGAAATCCCCCCCTCACCGGGGAGCCGGCCCCGGGGAGATGCTGAAGCTTTGTAAAGACCACGAGTATCTACACAAAGAGGGCACTAAAGAAAACTGAACCCCACTTGGTACCCAAGAGGGCGGTGAATAACTGAAAATAATAAATCATTTCTATTTTTTTCCCAAACATGGAAATATTGATGGCTACTGACACCAGTTCACCCCTGTAATTTCACATCACGTATTTCATTCTTCTAATCCTAAACCTCGAGTGCTTCAAAACTCTCCCTCCCAAAGACGTTTCAAAGCCACTCTGATATTTTATCTATCATTTAAATATCTCTGCATATGAGCTGTGCACTGACGCAGCTACCAAAGCAGAGCCCGCTGCGAAGTGGGGAGCCCCAGCAGAATTTCCTTATTTTTGCGGTTTTTCAGCCACTAAATTTGTTTGAGGTTTCTTGCTCTTGGCTTCAAAGTTTTCTGTGATGCCTCACACCTCTGCTTTATGGCGAACTAGTTTGGCGTTCAGCATTTTCCAGGCCCGGAGAAAAACACCTCCTACTAAAGACTCTGCTGAGGAAAACAGCCCCACGGCTCAAATTGCATCTTTTCCTTATTTTGAATGCTTTTTGATTTCAGCGGAGGAGAAACCAGCCAAAATTCATCCTTTCCTGCTTTTATTTTTAATGCCAAGCTCCTACATTTGTCTTTTTTTCAATTGCATGGAGCTAGATTTAAAGAAGGATGAAGAACTAGGTAATGAAATATGAAGAAATCATAATTAAAAATCAATGAGGTTGGGTTTTGTTTTTTTTTTCCTTCCTAAAGGAGATTTTGGGTGATCTCGTGCAGTGCTGGAGATGCTCACGGGGCTGCCACCCTGATGCACACCTGGATTTGGGGCTCGCCACAGAAGAAGCTGCCGGGCTGAGGCTCCGGGTGTTGCCGCGGTAGATGCTCTTTGGCAGCCGTCGGTGAGACATCTGCGCCGAGGCGGGGCAGAGCCTCCTGGGGTGAAGCCAGCCCTGCCACCGAGAGGTGACCGTGCGTGGAAAGGGGGAGCTGGTACAAAACCCCTCCGTCATTGACTCCACTGCCATGGCCCGGCTGTGGCTCCATCTCTGCATCTACCTCCAGATCCCAGGTAAGAGGGACGTGTCTCTTAAGGGTTGAAGGCACCTAAAATCGTGCTAGAGCCTCTCCTCCACCTCGCTCCAACACGTGGGATGTTTTGCACAGTATCTGGATGATGGAAGTTTAAATATACAGGCAAAGTTATAGATCTACAGGATGCTATTACTTATCAGCGCATAATTTTGGACAATGCCACTAAAAACACGCTTTAGCTTTTGGTCAGCCCTGAGGTGGTCAAGCAGTTGGACTAGACGGTCATCATAGGTCCCTTCCAATTGAAATAGTCTATTCTTTCCTTTTCTTTTATTTTCTTTTTTCTTTTCTTTTCTTTTCTTTTCTTTTCTTTTCTTTTCTTTTTTCTTTTCTTTTCTTTTCTTTTTTTTATTCTATTCTATTTATAGTGCAATGTATCATGGTATAGACACAGCAGAGTTTGTTTTTACTGCACCCTCTTCGTGCAGACAGTCTGTGGGAAGCTGCTGATGGAGAAGTTAAAGTAGCACCTATCTACGCTGCCTGTGTTACACAAAGATGACAAACATCCCATTAAATTTTCTTCTAAATCTGTCCAAAGATTGAATGTTTCCCAAGGGCCGGAGCTGGAATCGGTGTGTTACAAAACCATGCTGCCTTCTGCTTATTGCAGACAGGTTGCAGGAGGTCTGGACCAAATATATACAGTCGATGTCCTGGCAAAGTGGTAGAATTGTGCTTTACAAGACAAATTGTGCCATCGGTTCTTAGGTGGAAAGTGTTGAGAGCTTCAAATATCCATTAAATTAGGGTGGCAGTTCAAGCTGGTCACCCAAGATGTTGCCCAACCTGGGTCTACAGCTGCCCAGTGTCCTCGCTAGAGGCTGTCAGGACTGCAGAGTGTTTTGTTCGCGCCATGTGATGGTCATCCAGCCATGGCGTAACACAGTCGATGTGGCAGCAAACAGCCTGAGACGCTTTATCGACACCTATATACACGTAGTAAGGGCCTACAGATCTGTACGGTGGGGTCCCCGCTGAGAAGACCCCAGTAAATTAGAGTTTACTGTGCACGTGCAAAGGGGAAAAGGGACTGGTTCTGAGATGCTACAGGCTGGTTTGGCCAAGCATATGGAAACAAACCCATCCCACCCCAATTCCCCTTATCTTCCCCTAGAATATACACTGTGAAAGGGAACTGGGAGATTTTGGAGGGTGAAAGTGTAGCAGAGGGTGAGCTTTTCTGCTCTGGCTCCATCCCAGCTCACCCCACCGGAGCTTTACCTCTGGCTCCAAGCTGAGATGAGCATTTTCTAGGATCCCTTCTCATCCCTTCTGATTCATCTAATAATCTCTCTAACAGCTCGAGGAAAAGGTTTTCATGGGGGGTTAAGTTTCCCATGCCCAGCAGAGCCAGACCTCAGGGCAGCCAAGGAGACCCTGAAGCCACCGTGCCCCACGGCCACACACATTTCAGCCCCTAAAAAACCACACAGATGTTTGCCAGAGCAAAGTCTGGGAGGATTGCACTCCAAAACCTGAAAATTATGTATTTTAATAATAAGGAGATATTGATATTGTCGCAGCACCAGAGGATGTGGTGAAATGCTGCGGCTGCTGTGCAACGCTTGAATTTCAGCATTGCAATATTAGGGCTGAAGGCTCCTCGTCTCTGCAGTGCAGCGGCAGCGATGGGGTCATCGATGCGGGGATGGAGGAAGGCTCTGGACCTGTGTCAGTCCCCAGAGCCCTCTCCTTTGCCTGTCCCCATCGAGGACATGGGGGACATCAGGGCTGTGGGCCATGGGGATGACTTCAGGTGTTCCTGTGGTCATGCAAACCCATTCCTACACCGCTGGGTTTGCAGGGCTGCACGAGGCTGTTTGCAACGAGTACTGCAAGCAGCTTTGGGATTTTGAAGGAATAGGTAGGGACAATTTAAGGTTTTTTTAAAAAAAAGCCAAAAACGTATTTTGTTGAGCTTTTTGCACAGCTTTAAAACACACATGGGAAACAGACGGGGAAAGTGAGAGCATCCTTATCTTCAGAGGGCTGTTTTTCACTTGGTCTTGGAGTATCTGCAGCTTTGTAGGACTGTTTGCTGAACAGAAAGGGTCACAAGGCACCTGTTTTCCTTTTCACAAGGACACATCCTCGCTCGCACACAGACACCAGTCACATCTGCCTGGGCCAAACACGACTCCGATAATTTCCACAAAAACCTGCAAAGCCCAAACAGGGTGTTGCGATGCCAAAGCAAAGCTTTCAACTCCACCGCTACCCCTCAATCCCTCTCTTTCCTCAGGTCTCAAAATTCATACGAAAATAATGTCCTCTGAAAATTAGTATCAAACTGGCTTATTTTGAGATGTTTTGCATGGTTTTTTGGTCTTTCTCTGCACCTGAGATGAAGTTTATCAGTGCTGCATCTGTTAGAACAAAAATCTAGCAAATAAAATAAGAGACTCAAAAAAAAATCTGTTGAAAGAGAGGTGAAGCCTCTCCGAATAATGGGAGAGAAAAGGAGGTGGGAGAGAAAAGGAGGGCAGGAGAGGGGCATCCACAGGAGCAGGTGTGGATAGAGCCCCCCTCCATCCTTCTCCCTGCCACCGAGCCTCCTCCCTAGATGAGTGTTTACAGGGCAAACCCTACCTGTATAACTAGGCTTCCTCAAAAAATAGCTGGGGAACCCAAAAAAGGTCTCTGAGGGAATATGGGAGCATCCTGATAAAAAAGCTCCTGTTTCTTGCTCGTGCGATCCCCTGGTTTGTGACTACTTGATCTTGTTGAACCCACAGAGAAAATCTGTACTTAACGTGCAAGAAAAATAATGAAAATAATATCATAACTATGTATTCCTGTCTCTTTTTTCTCAGGTTTCTGTACAAATCTACTTTTATCCCAGGCTCCAGAGGGTATTTTAGCCCAAACTAACAATGAAACACAAATCCTCTGTGAGCTGAAGGAGAATGCCGGGGTGTACTGGTACCGCTGGAGCCAGGCGAGGCAAATTTTTGAGTTCTTGGTATTTTCCAACATGTTAGGCAAAGCCACGTACGGCACGAACATCAGCCAGGACAAGTTTAGTGTCCGTGGGGTGAGTTCCCACACCTCCTACAGCCTGCACATCAGCCACCTCCACGACTCGGACAACGGCACCTATTACTGCTCCGTCTCCCAGTCCTCCCAGCTCCTCCTGGGCAGGGGGACACAGCTCGGTGTGGGTAAGCATCACCCCCAGGGTGCCAAAATGTGCCTCCGGCGGGCTGTGATGAGGTCCCCTGGGAAAGGGGTGATGCGTGTTGGTAGACTCTTCCCAATTTTGAGATGCAAGGTTGGGGGTCTGGGATTTTCTTGAAGAGTCCCATGAGATCTGATAAGGCAGAAAATACCTAAATTTTAGGTCAGCTGCATGTGATAGTCCTTTTGCCACCAGGAATTGCTCTGCTGTGGTCATGCCTTGAGCACTGCTTTGATCCTCGTGTTTTAGGATTTCCCTGGGAAGACCCTCAGACCCTGATATTGCTGTGTCCTGTGCTTTTCTCATCTCCTGTTGTACTTCAGATGAGAGACTGGATGTGTGCCCTGCTCAGCTCCCGGGTCCTTCCATGCCCTGGTTCTTCCTTACCCTTCCTCCAAGTGACAAAAGCAGCATCAAGGCCAGAGGACATCACCCCTCACATCTCTGGGGTGGGTCTGACTGCAGGTTTCAAACCTGTCCTTCACATAAAGGATTGAAATGGGCTTTATTCCTCCAAGCTCACAACCCACTGTCCCTGGGGAGCTCCCACCAGAAATGAGAGCTATCTGCAGGTGGCATTGAGGGAGTGATGCTTTACAGACCCTGGGTCATACAGCAGCTCTTTTCAGCCCATTTTCCCCTTGACCACAGAGCCACAAGTGATGTAGAAAAACTAATGTGTTTGAAGTAAAATTCAGCCCTTTCTTTGGAGTTTTTTAGGGAGACAAATAACTTATTTAACAAAGATGCAGCTATAGCTGCCCCAGTGTCCCAACCTTTCTGGGTTTTTTGACAAATATGCCCTGCACCTTGAGCTGGCTGAGAAATCCCTTTTGGATTCTTGCTGGCTCAAACAAAAGCTAGTTCAAGATAAAGGAGAACTGGTTTTTATCAACTGGGCACGTATCTATGCACAAAGTAAAGCATGAAAAACAGGGTTGAAATTCAGTATGATCAAGGACATTCCAATCTAAAACTAAACACCAGCAGGTGCTCTGGGAGGACTCAGACTTTGCTGGATAATTTCTTTTTTTCCTGTTAGTACTCATGATAAAACCAAATGTCTTTAATTTTCTTTAAGTCTATTACAATGTAAGCGAGAAGTTGTCCAGATAAATCCCAGGCATCTGGTGTCTCACCTTTCCATGTAAAAGAACGGTGGTTTCCATAGGAATTTTGGTCCTGGATAGAAGCAGAAAAAAAGAGTTTTGAATCCCCCCAAATTTTGAATAAATGGAGTTTGAGTGGTCAAATGTACAGCTATTTAATGACATTACTGGGATATTTTCCTGACCAGCTTCACAGAGAGATGAATGTGCTCCATTGTAATTCAGATACACCATAATAAATCCTGCCCTCGTTTTATCAGGAAAAAACCAAAAAACCCAATTTTGAGCAAAGATCAGAGCAATCTGAATACAGAAAAGATCCAGAGATCCCTTAAAGCCTCCCAGTGCTACTGGAATCTCCTGCTACCCACGATTTTGTGCAATGCTGATGAGGTGGTACCCGGCAGTAAATGTAGCTCGAGGAAGTTTTCTTCTTCTTTGCCTCGGCCTTCTGCCCTTGTTTGCCTGGTATGTTGTTTTATTAATGTTTTTACAAGCTCTTGCTAACTTCTGTGGCCACTGAGAGGTTCAGGTCAAGTTCCCAGCCCCTCCGGGTCACCCAGCCCTTTGCAGGGGTCGCTGGATGGGGCTAGTTTTAAAAGCCAAAATTTCCAGCCTTTCTTGCCTGCTGTTTGAGTTGTCTGCTGGACTCGGTTCCATACTGATCATTCTCTTCTCCTCCTTATCCACCAGTTGATGTTTTGCCTCTGTCTCCAAA